AAAAATATAAATACCTTGCTTTATATTTTTTGAAACGACTCATAATAATTTTAAAGAGTAAAACATTGTTTTAGTTCAATATTTTTCCTTCTATTTAAGTCATGTCATAAGGCATTTTTGGCGCAATTTTCGCATTTTAAGGGCATTTTTTGCAGTTTGTAAGGGCACTTTTTAAGGGCATTAATTGAGATTTTTTAGGTCATCAAAATCCGGGCTCTATTTATAATCATAATAAGCCATTACCAAACCATCCATTTATGCAGACTGATACGAATTGGGTTGCATCACTGGATTGGAAGTAAATGTTGCAGTCGTTGGTTACTTTTTTAAACGAACATTCTCTTTGAAGTTTGTTTGAAGTGTAGTAAAACTATTTTTCTTAAAATCGAATTGAATAAACCGAGAAAAAAAATCAACAAAAAAATTCTTGATCGCCATCGGTTACCCATGGGTCAAGTGCTTTTTCTTTTTGGATTGACTCCGTTAAACGCCACACCATTTCAAGTCATGGGTGGCAAAAACTGTCTCCATTGATGTTAGTCGTTTTCATATCCTGCCTATGTACGTGTTTCACAAACTACTTTTCCGTCTTCAGCATTCACATTTATATTGAAATCAACGTCAAGACAGTTATTAAGCGTTAATAATAAAAATAATATAAAAAATACTTTAAATTATTACTGTGTGAATACATTGCCTGCTGGTGAAAAGAAAAACAGAAGCGGTCGTCATAGCAACGCATGCTCACTATTATTCTTGAACACAGTTGAGAAGTGCGTGGACGCCATCTTGCCAACGGGTAATGAAGTATTATAGATCGACATTTTATTGGGATAGGAGAGCGGTTCTTGCTTTGTTTCTTCGTTTATGTGTCTGACAAAGTTTCCCCTCAAGTATTATTCAAGAGAGAAGCTGAATCGTGTCGCGATACTTTTTGTTCAATTTAAAATTAATACTGACATCTGTAAATGGTAGGTTGATCTACCGTTATTTTGGGTTTCTTCGATGTTTACCCTACTTCAAAAAGTTTATTGTATATCAGTTCGATTTCCGAAGCTTTGTTTGTCACTTTGAACCCAATCCGGAAGACAAGGGAACTCCTGGATATAGTATTGGGCGAAGATTGCCTTCGTGGAGGACTTTTTGGTTGAACTAACCCGCATTTGCGTTACATGGAGAGGAAGATCGCGAGAACCTCTTACGGCAAGGGAACTCTAATCCCTGATCCGTCTACCACTGAGGATATTTCACGTCAGCACTGTGGTCAGTGCAAGCCAGATGCGGATTCGTATCGACCCGTAATCGCTGGGATTCGCATCCGGCTCACCTCATTGGAAGGCGAACTCTCTATCCCCTGAGCTCATCGCAGCTCATAAACTACATATTGTAAATGGACTGGGATAGCCTGGTTGGTAGGGTGTTGTCCAAGACGTGAGTTAGATTTCCGATGACTTCCCGCTCCCAGAATGGCGCACGCTAAATCTGTCGGGCTCACCAAGTCCTTCAAGTTCCCATTACAAATTAATAACACTGGGGGTATTGGATCTGTCGTGCTCTGGTTCAGGTCAAAATTATGATCTGTGGGAGGATGGTGTGTGAAAGTGTCCTCCCTGTAAAACGGGCTGTGATGTATGTGTGTGGCATAAGCCATAAATGGTGCCACTGGAAATCAAGAAGATCACTCTGCCTTTAAATAGTCTTGTTAGTATTTACAAGTGGCATAAGACAACAGCAAATAAGTAAATATCAGTTTTCTGGAATTCTACTTTATCCTAGTCAGTATCAGCATAGTAACGAAAATAGTTGCCAAATTTTACTTTTCTGAAAGAACTTACATTGTTTTTTTCTTAATTGTATGGCTATATTAATGTAACTAATCATAATTAATAATAATTAGGTGGAAAATGTTTTGTTTCTGTTTTAAACTTTGATTGTTTAAATATTTATACCTTAGATTGGTTTTAATAGACTGATAAAATTAACTCATTGAAAGACGTCAAAGCCAGTTTGATTGCCTCCTGAAACTTTAAAATGTTTCTAACACAGTAATTCATTTTAGACGTTGTTAACTGCTATTCCCTGATTATCGCGAGTTAACTCGGCTACGTATATATTGCAAATATTTATCAACCCGAGAAAACTCGGGTGTGGCAGAATTTGTCAGCATGTTTTGTTTTCTTACGTTTTTACTCGGCCGGAAGCTAAAAAAAAAAAGTGCTGTGATTAGAAGTTTTGCTTGGGAGTTATGCTGTTAGATTGTGGGACTGCAAACGTGTTTTGGGTGATTGTTTATACGATGGTTGCTGACTTTACATAGAAAAAAAGAGCTTTAAAAAAAATGGTGCATCACTTCATTGGCGGTTGTAAAGTATCACTTCGTGTTTTCACTTTTAAAAACTATCATACAAAGACGAATATTTTACTTTCTTCTCCTTGGCCGAGATAACTCGGGATAGCAAACTAATCGTAAATAAAATATTTTTTACGCATAAAAGAAAATTTAAATTTTAACTTAAAACTTGTTTATTATGTTTTGTTTCATTTCCTTGTATTTATTAATAAAATAAAAAAAATATGTTGATTTTTTGCATTTTTTTTTCTTCAAAAAAATTTGTAAGGGAAGCTACTTAAAAAAAAATTTAAATTTGAAAAACCTCTGAATTTTATTAATAAATGCAGGGAACTAAAACAAAACATAATACACAAGTTCTAAGCTGAAATGTTAACATTTCGTACGTGTCAAAAATATTTAATTTACCATCAGTTTACGATCCCAAATGATCTCGGGCATATGAAAAAAGTTAAATATGAGTCTTTGTATATGTTCACATCTTTATGATCTGAAAAATCATCTCCATTACTTCCGATAACGAACTTTTTATTTTCTCTATGTAAATTCATCAACTATTATACATACAATTGTACAAAACACGTCTGCATAGCAAAACTCATACAAACAAAAAATTGGCAAACTTCCAATCACAGCAGATTATTATTATTTCCTGTTTTGCTTTCGACCGAATAAGAACGCGATGAAACAAAACGTATTGACGAATTCTGGTTTATAGCTGTAGAAAACAGTTAATAGCTGTAGAAAACACGCTAGCAATTAATAACTAGCAAAAAAATAAATTTCTGTTTCTAACTAATAAAAAATGAGTCAGAAAGAAATAATTAATCCCTTAATAAACGTGCTTTTGTAGTACATATTATTTTATTTCACATTCAAAATTATTATCACAGACTATTTAACACAGTGTATTATAGTTAAGTAAATAACTTTTAAACTAATTTAGTCAAATTTCGAAATCGTTAAAAGTGTGCCACCCCCAAAAAAGGTATCACTGGGTTAAAGTATTTACTTTCGACCGGCAATGTGTCAAGCGCAAGGTTGGCAAGTTTCTGCCGAGGTGGTTAAAACCACTGGTATAAACCGGTTAAAACTGGCATGGCAGTAACCCTTTTCTGCCACATTTGCGGCAGAAACTGGCAGAAATTAAGAAAATGACATAAAAGTTAAGTACTGAGATTGACATACAATGGAAAATTCATAGAAAAAACATATAAATGTTAAACAAAGTGACCAGTGAACTTGCTGTTTACATTTATGAATCAGTGAATCTAATCAAATATATAACCTCTTACATACAGCAAGGATTAAAACTGTTACTGTTATAATAATTGGATTGTTGCCATGTAAATTATGTCTTGAAAAGAAAAAAAAACTATTTGAAAGTAGCTCTATTCAGTTATATTAAGAGTTAAATTATAATAATTACTGAATTTCAGAGTTAAATAAAATAAACTAAAATTTAGTATTTATATTTATTATTACATTACTTTATTCTTTATTTAATATAAATATTTGATATACTGCACTCATTATATTTAATGTAAACAAAATAATATATATTTACAAACAATGTATTAAAAAGTTTGTTACAGTTACATGGAGTTACATTTTTCAGTTTGCTTAAGCAAAATGTCATTAAGCAATTACTAGAACTAATATAGACGTTTTTTTAGGTGCTGCCAGTTTTTGCTGGTTTCTACCGGTTATAACCAGTTTCTGCCACTGGCATGGCAAAAACCAGCTTCTGCCGGCAAAAAGCCAACCGTGTTCAAGCGTTCTAGAAATTATTTTTTAGGGGTCATCTGTAAAGTAATGTATGAACTGACCTTTTTGTATAATTTTACGACAAACGGTTGCTTTCTGTTGAGGGAAGTGTTCTAGATCCCGTTGGTTGCAATCTGTGATAGCAAACGTTTCATTTCTGAAGGGGTCTCCGCAGTTTTTGTCGTAGTGGGAGTTGCATTCCCAGCACATGATTGCTAGACCTGAAAGATGAAAATGCATTGTATAATATTTTATTTAAAGTGTCAATATATTTTCTTACAAATTAGATGTCATTAATACACTAAAACCTCGCTACAACAATAATTTTGGGACCCAATAAATATGTTGTTGTTTCCAATGCCACTTGCCACATGGGCAAGCCTGCTTTGTAAAACTGATCAAATTTAAGGCAAAGTGTGGGCTTCTTGTTTTTCAGTGGCGCCATCTATGGCCAAGAATTCGACTACTGCCACACCATACATAGCACCCGTTTATAGGGCGGACCCATTCATTCGTCCACAGATCGTAATTTTGACGTGAAGCAGAGAACGATCGATCTCCAATCCAGTACCCCCAGAGGTTTTGATTTGTTCTGGAATTTTTGCCACTCGACATATTTAACGTGCATCAGTCACTTTACTACACGGGGAGTCTTCGGCCGGCGGGGTTCGAACCCACGAACTCTCGGACGCAGCGCCCTACCGACCAGGCTATCCCGGCCTCCAAGTAAATATAGTGTTGTAAAGCAGTGTTTCCCAAACTTATGACTTTTGAGTACCCTTTCCAAATTTTTCGTAACGCTGTGTACCACTAATAAAAGAATAAAAGTATTTTTTTTAATATGTTTACTTTTCTTTTTATGGTACAAAGTTTTCGGTTTTAAAAATTCCTTAATTTTGGTAAAAAAAATTCTAAGTTGGTGATAATATAATAAATATATTATCCCTATAATATATATATTATAATATATATATATATTATATATTATTCATATAATAAAAAGTATTTTTTTATGCATAAGTATGATTTATTTTTGCATATACAGTTCATCGGCAAATTATTAGACACACTATAAGTTTCTTTGTAAAATCTTAATAATTTATGTCAGTGTTTCCCAAACTTATGACTTTTGAGTACCCTTTCCAAATTTTTCGTAACGCTGTGTACCACTAATAAAAGAATAAAAGTATTTTTTTTAATATGTTTACTTTTCTTTTTATGGTACAAAGTTTTCGGTTTTAAAAATTCCTTAATTTTGGTAAAAAAAATTCTAAGTTGGTGATAATATAATAAATATATTATCCCTATAATATATATATTATAATATATATATATATTATATATTATTCATATAATAAAAAGTATTTTTTTATGCATAAGTATGATTTATTTTTGCATATACAGTTCATCGGCAAATTATTAGACACACTATAAGTTTCTTTGTAAAATCTTAATAATTTATGTCAGTGTTTCCCAAACTTATGACTTTTGTGTACCCTTTCTAAATTTTTCTCAACGGTGTGCACCATTAATAAAAAAATTAATGTATTTTTTAAAAAAATATGTTTATTTTTCTTTTTTTGTAGATACTAACCAGCGATCCATATTCTATGTTAAAAAGGAAAATTATATTTCTATATTAAAAATAATCAAAATTCAAACAATCAAATCAATTATATGATTATATTAAAAATAATCAAAATAAGTAGAATTTATTACAAACCTTTACTGTAAAAAAATTGCAAAAAAGTTACAAATCAAAACTGGCTGTTGACACCTCTCATTATTAACTGTTAACTCTGCAAAATATAGCCAATAGAAAAATACGTAATCGTAAATTTTCTTTGTTTTTAAATAAAATGTTTCGTTTGTTGCAAGATATTTCGCATAAGAACGCGTACCCCCGCTAAACTGTTCCCGTATTCCTGGGGGTACGCGAATCACACTGTTGTTAAGGGACATATTGCTAAATCTTACATAAAATAAATTGTTAAGGGCTTTTTTAATTTCAATGTTATATATGTACTAACTATAAATGTACTTATATATTATGCAAAATATTAATTTACAAAGTGTTAATTACGGTTAAATATTAAAAGCAATTGAAAGAAATTCAGAAAATAGGATCGTAAACTACCTGAAAACTGTTTTTATTGAAAATAATCTGATATTTTTGTTTGTTTATTCATTTTTTGACTGTTTTGACTGATTATTTTGTGATTTAATTTTTATTCCAGTTACAGTGGAAGTTTTTTTTATGGAAAGGGTAAGGATTTTACTCGTTTACATTCAGGGGTCTGTTAAGAAGAAATTTGAGACCTTAACGGACCCTTCACAAAATATATTTTCATAAAAACGGACCCTTCACAAAATATTACAACTTAAAAACGGACCCTTTACAAAATAATTTACCTTTTAATCGGATCCTTCACAAATTTGTTTATCATCATTATTGTTTTGTTAATCGAATAAACCCTTCCCAGGAAGGAGGGGGGAGAAAGACAGATGTAAACGAATTAAATTTTGACTTCTGCAGACGCTTCTTCCTTTATTTGTTCGAAATGAATATTCTGCGTTCAGCAGTATAGGCTAAATACCAAATATTTATATGATACATCGCTAATTTAGTAGCTGCCATTGCTGTTTATTTTTTAAAATTTAATTTTTTTAATTAAAATTTTACAGTGTTGAGAGTAATCTTGTACGTCTTTACAATTTAAAAACTCCTTGAAATTTTTTTTTTTGCAATAACGGACTCTATTTGCACACATTCACAAAAGCAGGACTCTGGTTGAAAGAATGTGACTTGACGTTTATTTTATATTCACAAATGACGACTCATTTTTTCACAATTTTACAAAAACGGACCTTTCACAAAATGTCTGTACAGACCCCTAACATTACTTTTTTGGAATTTTTCTCTCACAAAACAAAAGAAATTATTAATTTACTGGCTCAATAAATCTGAGTTATGTACAGTATTTTAGATTATATTAAGCTAAGTTTTAGTCCAAATATTTATTCTAATAAGTTTTTTCCACATATTTGTGAGAATATTTTCGATTTTTCTTAAATCCATGTACAATAACAATCAAATATTTAAAAAAACCTCTATTTGAAATGATGAAATTTATACAAGATAAAATCTAAATCTTTTGCTGATTTTCATCTTCTAAAAAATATTTCTAAAAAATGAAACCTTTTAATATTATGTTGGGTAGAAATTTCAAACTAAAGAAAAGTATATAGTAATTACAAGAAAAAAATTGAAGATTTTTCCCATTTCTTCCATTTCATCTGAAAAAATAGGAAGATTTTCTTTGAACAAATAATTAGTTTCAAAATGTTTTTTCATCTTATATATTTCAAAGCGAAAAATCAAAGAATTCTAAAAAGCTATTTTATGCTATCAAAGTAGATAGCATAATTCTTCATCAATTATGTGACCATTGAAATGTAAATATTACACTTATGAGTAAGAACCTGGAAAAACAATGTACAATATGCACAATTTTAGTCAATTTTTTCATATAATCAAAAATATCGTTTTCACAAAACACCATTAATTTAGTAGTAAAGTTTTTTTTTCTTTGTAAGTTTGCCATAGTTTTTTTCTTTGAAACATTTATGGATTTTTTTATTGGTGGAAAACCGAAAGAAAAAAATCAATAAACGTTGGAAATATAGTAAAAACAGGTGTAATAATTCTCACATTAAGTATATAAATAAACCATTTTTACCAAAGGAGATTCTTCTCCCATTTCATTCGAAAAATAATAATGTTTCGCTGAATATTTGATACAAAAATGTATATTTGATACAAATAATTATCTTTGATACAAATGAATATTTGATACAAATTTTGAATTCAAAAACTTTCTAACTAAATATAGGAATTATTTTTTTAAAACAAAACACTTTTGTAGAAATTCATAATTTCTACATTTTATTTTTAAATTCTACAGAAGACTCTTAGAATATATTTTTTTCATAAAAAAAATATAATAACCCTCAAAAATATTTTATAATTCATTTTTTAAATTATTTTGTTCTTCATTATTTAAAGTAAAATTGCGTGATGAACATAGTTATTTTCAAATGAATTTGAAATTAAATAACCGAAATTATTTTGTTCTTCATTATTTAAAATAAAATTGTGCGATGAGCATAGTTATTTTCAAATGGATTTGAAATTAATAACCGAAATTAGTTTTGTTAAGGAAAACAAATAGATATTAAAAATATTTCAATATAGAGGGTATTCCATTAAATGTGGAGGAAAGTGATAAAATATTTTTAAACTTGAAAAGTCGATAACTGTACCTCAATTTTTTCAAACATAGCAATTTTAATATAAAACTTTTTCCTAATTTTGCTTCGAGATAGGTACCTAACAAGGTTTCGAAATGTTCGCTACTTAATGGCTCAAAACACACGTTTAATATTTTGTTGACCTACACAAAAATTGTTGCGTTTTTTGACAAAAAATATCTTGAATCTATCATTACATTGTCTCCTAATTCTTTATTTGTTTCCATGCTCAGTAAATTTATTTATAATTAATACACTTCTCTTTGGGTGCATTTATTTATTCATTACCCTGAGAAACAATTTTTTTCTAATTGTTTTTTTTTGTTGCATGAGATTTTTTAACAGCTCTTAAAGACTTCATCACTGCAATCGATTTCTCTCTAATCTGTAATCGATTAAATCTGAAATCGATTTCCCTCTCTCTCTAAGCTACTTATTTCTTTTGAAGTGACATTTTTAGTCTATTATTGTCGAAACGTACACGTTCAAAAATAATATTTGCAACAGGGGTGTGCGATAATGTTGCGACAAATCATATTTAAAACAGCATAGGAGCCCATACCCGGAAATGTCCTCGTACGCCGCTAGGGGCAGTCACGAACTGTTTCTTCGCGTACTTCTAAGTGGGTCATAATAGAAAAGCACCCCTGGCCGTATATGGCGACATTTCCGGGCATGACTAATGTGCCCTAACTCGTCTAGAAGTTTGTAGCAACATTAGCTCACACCCCTGTTATATATAAAGTCTTTGAGCTTGTACATTTCGACAAAAAATAACTTGTGGGTCAGAATAATCTGGTTGGCAAGGCGCTGGACTCAACAGGAGTTCGAATCCAGCCTGCTGAAGATTCCCCATGCATATAATGGTGACTAGTGCACGTTTAATCTGTCGGGTCACAAAGACCACCTT